ATATTTCTACAATCACACACAATGTCACCCTTAATCACAATATTTCTACAATAACACACAATGTCACCCGTAATGACGATATTTCTACAATCACACACAATGTCACCCTTAATCACGATATTTCTACAATCACACACAATGTCACCCGTAATGACGATATTTCTACAATCACACACAATGTCACCCTTTTTAATTAATAACGATGTTTTTTTTACAATCGCATACAATGTCACCCTTAATTACGATATTTCTACAATCTCACAAAATGTCACCATTAATGACAATATTTCTACAAGCACACACAACATCACCCTTAATCACGATATTTCTACAAGCACACACAATGTCACCCTTCATGATGATATTTCTACAATCACACACAAAATTACCCTTCATGACCATATTTCTACAATCACACACAATGTCACCCTTCCTGACGATATTTCTACAAGCGCACACAATGTCACCCTTAATGACGATATTTCTACAATCACACACAATGTCACCCTTAATCACGATATTTCTACAAACACACACAATGTCACCCGTAAGGACGATATTTCTACAATCACACACAATGTCATCCTAATGACGATATTTCTACAAGCACACATAATGTCATCCTAATGACGATATTTCTACAATCACACACAATGTCATCCTTAATGACGATATTTCTACAATAACACACAATGTCACCCTTAATGACGATATTTCTACAAGCACACACAATGCCACCCTTAATGACGATATTCTACAATCACACACAATGCCACCCGTAATGACGATATTTCTACAATCACACACAATGTCACCCTTAATCACGATATTTCTAAAATAGCACACAATGTCACCCTTAATGACGATATTTCTACGATCTCACACAATGTCATCCTTAGTGACGATATTTGTACAAGCACACACAACACCGACCTTAATGGCGATATTTCTAGAATCACACACAATGTCACTCTTAATGACGATATTTCTACAAGCACAGACAATGTCATCCTAATGACGATATTTCTACAATCACACACAATGTCACCCTTAATGACGATATTTCTACAATAACACACAATGTCACCCTTAATAACCATATTTCTAGAAGCATACACGATGTCATCCATCATGACGATATTTCTACAAGCACACACAATATCACCTTTAATGACGATATTTGTACAAGCACACACAATGTTACCCTTAATGACGATATTTCTACAAGCACACACAAAATCACCCTTAATGACGATATTTCTACAAGCACACACAATGTCACCCTTCATGATGATATTTCTACAATCACACACAAAATTACCCTTCATGACCATATTTCTACAATCACACACAATGTCACCCTTCATGACGATATTTCTACAATCACACACAATGTCACCCTTAATGACGATATTTCTACAATCACACACAATGTCACCCTTAATCACAATATTTCTACAAACACACACAATGTCACCCTTAATGACGATATATCTACAAGCACACACAGTGTCACCCTTAATGACGACATTTCTACAAGCACACACAATGTCACCCCTGTAAGGACGATATTTCTACAATCACACACAATGTCACCCTTAATGACGATATTTCTACAATCACACACAATGTCACCCTTTATGACGATATTTCTACAAGCACACACAATGCCACCCTTAATGACGATATTTCTACAATCACACACAATGTCACCCTTCATGACGATATTTCTAAAATCACACACAATGTCACCCTTAATGACGATATTTCTACAATCACAGACAATGTCACCCTTAATGACGATATTTCTACAATAACACACAATGTCACCCTTAATGACGATATTTCTACAATCACACACAATGTCACCCTTAATGACGATATTTCTACAATCACACACAATGTCACCCTTAATGACGATATTTCTACAAGCACACACAATGTCACCCTTAATGACGATATTTCTACAAGCACACACAATGTCACCCTTCATGACGATATTTCTACAAGCACACACAATGTCACCCTTAATGACGATATTTCTACAATCACACACAATGTCACCCTTCATGACGATATTTCTACAAGCACACACAATGTCACCCGTAAGGACGATATTTCTACAATCACACACAATGTCATCCTAATGACGATATTTCTACAATAACACACAATGTCACCCTTTATGACGATATTTCTACAAGCACACACAATGCCACCCTTAATGACGATATTTCTACAATCACACACAATGTCACCCTTCATGACGATATTTCTACAATCACACACAATGTCACCCTAATGACGATATTTCTACAATCACAGACAATGTCACCCTTAATGACCATATTCCTACAATAACACACAATGTCACCCTTAATGACGATATTTCTACAATCACACACAATGTCACCCTTAATCACGATACTCTAAAATCACACACAATGTCACTCTTAATGACGATATTTCTACAAGCACAGACAATGTCATCCTAATGACGATATTTCTACAATCACACACAATGTCACCCTTAATGACGATATTTCTACAATAACACACAATGTCACCCTTAATGACGATATTTCTACAATCACACACAATGTCACCCTTAATGACGATATTTCTACAATCACACACAATGTCACCCTTAATGACGATATTTCTAAAATAGCACACAATGTCACCCTTAATGACGATATTTCTACAATCACACACAATGTCACCCTTAATGACGATATTTCTACAATCACACACAAAATCACCCTTAATGGCGATATTTGTACAAGCACACACAAAATCACACTTCATGGCCATATTTCTACAATCACACACAATGTCACCCTTCATGACGATATTTCTAAAATCACACACAATGTCACCCTTAATCACGATATTTCTACAAGCACACACAATGTCACCCGTAATGACGATATTTCTACAATCACACACAATGTCACCCTTAATGAGGATATTTCTAAAATAGCACACAATGTCACCCTTAATGACGATATTTCTACGGTCTCACACAATGTCACCCTTAATGACGATATTTGTACAAGCACACACAAAATCACCCTTAATGACGATATTTGTACAAGCACACACAAAATCACACTTCATGACCATATTTCTACAATCACACACAATGTCACCCTTCATGACGATATTTCTAAAATCACACACAATGTCACCCTTAATGACGATATTTCTGCAAGCACACACAATGTCACCCGTAATGACGATATTTGTACAAGCACACACAATGTCACCCTAATGACGATATTTCTACAAGCACACACATAATCACCCTTCATGACCATATTTCTACAATCACACACAATGTCACCCTTAATAACGATATTTCTACAATCACACACAATGTCACCCGTAATGACGATATTTCTACAATCACACACAATGTCACCCTTAATCACGATATTTCTACAATCACACACAATGTCACCCGTAATGACGATATTTCTACAATCACACACAATGTCACCCTTAATGACGATATTTCTACAATCACACACAATGTCACCCGTAATGACGATATTTCTACAATCACACACAATGTCACCCTTAATCACGATATTTCTACAGTCACACACAATGTCACCCGTAATGACGATATTTCTACAATCACACATAATGTCACCCTTAATGGCGATATTTGTAAAAGCACACACAACATCACCTTTAATGAAGATATTTCTACAAGCACACTCAATGTCACCCTTAATGACGATATTTCTACAATCACACACAATGTCAGCCTTAAAGACGATACGTCTACAAGCACACACAATGTTACCCTTAATGACGATATTTCTACAATCACACAGAATGTCACCCCTAATGGCGATACTTTTACAAGCACACATGATGTCACCCGTAATGGCGGTACCTCTACTAGTACAACACAATGTCACCCCTAACTGCGGTACCTCTACTAATACAACACTATGTCACCCCTAACGGCGGTACCTCTACTAGTACAACACAATGTCACCCCTAACGGCGGTACCTCTACTAGTACAACACAATGTCACCCCTAACGGCGGTACCTCTACTAATACAACACTATGTCACCCCTAACGGCGGTACCTCTACTAGTACAACAAAATGTCACCCCTAACTGCGGTACCTCTACTAATACAACACTATGTCACCCCTAACGGCGGTACCTCTACTAGTACAACACAATGTCACCCCTAACGGCGGTACCTCTACTAGTACAACACAATGTCACCCCTAACGGCGGTACCTCTACTAGTACAACACTATGTCATCCCTAACGGCGGTACCTCTACTAATACAACACAATGTCACCCCTAACGGCGGTACCTCTACTAGTACAACACAATGTCACCCCTAATGGCGGTAATGGCGATACTTTGTATGTACACCCAATGTCACCCTTAATGACGATACTTATACAAGTACGACGTACACATGATCTCACCCTTAATGACGATATTCTACATGTACACACAACGTCACCCCTAATGGCGGTACTTCTACATGTACACACAACGTCACCCCTAATGGCGGTACTTCTACATGTACACACAACGTCACCCCTAATGGCGGTACTTCTACATGTACACACAACGTCACCCCTAATGGCGGTACTTCTACCTGTACACACAACGTCACCCCTCATGACGGTACTTCTACTAGTACAACACAACGTCACCCCTAATGGCGGTACTTCTACCTGTACACACAACGTCACCCCTAATGACGGTACTTCTACCTGTACACACGACGTCACCCCTAATGACGGTACTTCTACATGTACACACCACAACGTCACCCCTAATGACGGTACTACTATAAGTACACACAATGTATACTCAAGGATACCCTGTCTAAAAGAACATACTTTATAGGGATCAATTGTCATTGCTCAGGAATCTTGTCCATGTATATGTTTTAATTAATGTCTAATGTGCTGCTGTAACTATATTGCATGAGGATTTTAGACGTATGCTTACCTTCGTACATGTCCACCCCTTCGTCCATATATTTGGCGGCATAGCGACCAGCTACCACTTGACCACGATTCATGCCATTCAGGTCACAGAGGGCAAACCTCACATAGTCGTATTGGCTTATCTCCCTTTTTACTTCCTCGAACTTCGACATTGTCACTGTGATAAACCTGCAGAATTAATTTATATAAATATTTATGCTCTGAAGATCATTTTCCGTGTTTGCTGACAGGTTTCCTCCTTGGGCGGGATATGTCCACTGCAACCATAAGAGGCGACTTAACTGGGAACCCGTGAAGATTCCGTGTGAGCATTGTTTCCATGGTGGTAGGAGGGTGGGTCAGGTGTTCGCTGATCGTGATATCAACCACTGGACTGACCGGTCCGGATTCAGTTACCTAAACTACAGGTATATAAGTTTTTGTTGCGTGTTGGCTACAGAACTGCGAACAAGGTTTAGCGGAATTTGGACGTTTTCCACTGTTTATTAACGCCCGATGTCGGGTTATTTCATATTGTCTAAGATTGATGAAACAACCAATTTCACGATATTCAAGATGTAGTTATGAAATACCTAAAACACTAGATGATACCGGAGATATTAATTGGGTTTCATTCGTTAGAACTATTCTTTTTAGTCATGGCTTTGGAAATTTATGGCTCTCTCAAAATGTAAGTAATACACAATATTTCATCGAAGTATTCAAGCAGAGATGCAAAGACATTTATCAACAGGACTGGTATAATGAAATAACGTCATCAACATGTGTCAACTTTTATTCAGAATATAAATATTGTATTAATACAGAAATTTACCTTTCAAAGATTAAATCACCACAACTTAAGCGTACGTTTACTGCAAAATTGAGATGTAACGCTTACAACTTCAAAGTCCAAGCGGGGCGGTGGGGTAGCCTAGTGGTTAAAGCGTTGGCTCGTCATGCCTAGGACCCGGGTTCGAATCCGCACATGGGCACATTGTGTGAAGCCCATTTCTGGTGTCCCCCGACATGATATTGCTGGAATATTGCTAAAAGCTGCGTAAAACCATACTCACTCACTCAAAGTCCAAGCGGCGCGATTTGCCAAAACTTCAAATGCAATAGATATCCAATGTCCAATCTGCAATTTATCGCAAGAAGATGAGTACCATGTATTACTTGTATGCCCGAAATATTTAGAAATAGGAGTTACATATTTGCCTTATTTTTTCTATAACCAACCGTCGAGACATAAATTCTGTATGCTACTTCGCACAGAAAACATTGACTTGTTGTTTAAGCTAGCCCTTGTGTTGTACCACATACTTATATTGAGAGAAAAAATGTAAATTGTGAATGGGTGTTTATGGATCTATTGATTTTCCTATAACTCGCGTATTTACAGGTTGCGCATAAATGCACTGTTATTATTGTACACATGTACTATTGGCCTCAGGGCCACATACAATAAATATGTCTGTCTATATATGCAATGTTGCTGAGGGTAAACGCGCGCACGCACACACGCACACACGGTAACATATGAGGCACATTTCACTCAGCAGCACGTTATACCATTAAGGTCTGTACATTATTTTGGTCGTTCCCTGTTTAACATCACAGTCAGGATTAATTCCAACCAAGTCGTGAGAAGCTGCTGCTTCTTTTTCTGTCATGACAAAACAATTATAGTTAACTGGAAAAGAAATATTTCGGCTGAGACTTAATACCACAAGGGTCATAACTGCATATATCTACACATCACCAACTTTATGACTCGATAAAACGGATGAAGCGTCCACATCTCGTTGCCTCGTGGCAGCATATATTCTCTGCAATATTCCAGTTACATGTAGGTGGTCTGCAAAAGATAGAGTCGGGACCTGATAATCCAGTGATTGACATCATGACTATAGATCTACGCAATTCTGACATAATGCCATATGCCACTCAAGGCAGCGAACCTGACCACCTGATCCGCTAGTTGCGTCTTTCGACAAGCATGGGTTGCTGAAGACCAACTTTAAAGCGGATCTAGATACGGGTTTTAGGTGTTTGTTCTCCCGTATGTATGCGACATCAGAAGTAAATCTGTGGCTGTTTCATTTCAAATGAAAAGTCACTGCGCTGTGGTTTTAGCGCCCCTAAGAACAGTTAAATGTCAACTTCATGTGGGAGAATTGCCCGAAGTAATGCAAGTGTAGATGACTCAAGTTTTAAAAAAATCGAGTATTTCTTTAAATCTGCATAATATAACATATGCTATATTTGGGATTAAGCTTTCTTAGTTAAGTACAGATACTAGCATTTGTGTTGTTAATCGCCAGCACACAAAGTGAGCCGCCATCGCGGCTTCCACAAAACTCGAAGTCGGACAACTGATAAGTGTAAATTGGCACGGCTCCCACGGCCGAAAGCGATGAATACACAATGCCATTTAGAAAGTGTAACGTATGTTATATTTGGGATTACGCTATCTTAGTAAAGTACAGATTCTAGTGCTTTTGTTGGGATGAGTCTCATCCGGGATTCGAACCCAAAACCTCAGAGTCAGGCACCTGGGACTCAGCCCAACAAAAGTATTTTGGTTTAAGGGTTGTCAGTGCACATCATAAAGTGATATCATTTTCAGTGATCAAGAAATACAGTCAGTAAAAATTTGGCATTGGTATAAATACTGATCATTTGTTTGTGATATGTCTGTATGAACTGAATACGAAATATCCAACTTTCTAGGTTCAAGACAAGATATATAAATTCTTAGTTTTATCGGGGCCGTGGGGTAGCCTAGGGGTTAAAGCGTTCGTTCGTCACGCCGAAGACCAGGATTCGATTCCCCACATGGGCACAATGTATGAAGCTCGTTTCTGGTGTCCCCCGCCGTGATATTGATGAAACATTGCCAAAAGCGGCGTAAAACCATACTCACTCACTCACTTAGTTTCATCAGCTCTGTTTTACTGTATAGACTACTTATAGTGTTATGTGGCAGACTATTCATTATAACAATATTGTATGCTATATTTAGACAGAGTTCTGGAATGTGCCACAGCCCGAGTATTGTAGACAGTTCGCGTATATTATATAAAGGGAGCTAACTCTTGTCGCCCATTTCACATTACATCTCAAGTTTCAAGAAGACTAGCAATTGAGTGGAGGTCATTCTTACCCTGTACTCTAAGCCTAGACTATGTTTTGGAAACGTTACCATTGTTGCAATTGCTGTAATCACTGCTCTTGTATCATACTGCCTTTCTCCTTTGTACTGCCACTGTAATACCTGTGAACTTGATTTTGGAATACAGTTGTTCATTTTATTAGGTCTTCAGACGAAAGTCTGGAAGACCTACTGTTATTATCCGAATGTTATTATTATTATTATTTGTGCAGATTTTGTACCCGCTCCCCTGACCTAACCGCTTGGTCGATTTGCATGAAACTTTCAGAGTTGATAGCGTGTATACTGAAATTGATACAATTGATACAAATCCCGACTTCCGGCTTCCGGTAAGGGCAGAGAACCCAAAATGTCGAAATCTTTACACCTGAATAACTCAAAAACTAACCGAGATAAATAAAGCAAATTCACTCAATGTAGACATCATTCTCCATCGATTTAACGCATAGCGGAAGTTGGCCGCCATGAGAGATTTTCCGCAATTTTGGAAAAACTGAAATTTTTGCCGATTTCCTCGTTTTTACGGTGCCTGTGTTTCAGATTCTCCTCCTCCTGAACGGCATTTAGTACAATCGTGTTTGATATATCGTTCTAAAGCCCACACTCCGGACTACATAGCCTGTTCAAGGCATGTCGATATCTTGAATAGTTGTGGAGTTATCACCCTTGAAAATCGGAGAATTTTCTAAGACGCATTTTCACAGGGTTCATAAAAATGTCACAGCTCTGCGCAAACACAATGAATTTCGTTTTTCAAGGTACCAAACTGTAGATAATGGAATGTGGAACATCTTTGCTTCACATTATTATTATGTAAAAGTCAATAGTTACGCCACAATTACGCCACAACCAGAGAGGGACATTAGGATTTCGCATTTTCTTTCAGTTGTGACATAACTAAGTGAAGGAAGCAGCGAGTGTTGCTATATTTTACTGGCGCTTCCTTCAGTTAGTTAGTTATCTCATATCACAGGAAGCGCCAGTAAAATCTAGCACTGCCCACGTCCTGGTTTACCGGTGCCCACAGAAATAGTTCCCTCTTTAACAGTAACTCCGTTGTTCATAGGTCTACATTCAAAAGAGTTAGTGTTCTGGAATTGGAAGGATATAATCTCTCCAGCGGCCTGTCCTTTGCTGTGCTTGGCTGTGCGTTCCTGTTTGTTTTTTTGCAGTTTGTGTCAGCTGCATTGAATCAGCGGCCATGGCAGTCGTACTTTCAAATCATCTTTAAAACCTCCAAATCCCCCAGTGGGTTTCCAAATAGTCACCTATTTGCTACTCCTCAGCAGAGAAGATGTATATTTTCAAAATGTATGTTTTGTAGACAGTTTGCTGTGAGCCTTCATAACATATTTCTTTATACTATGACTGAATATCAGCCTGAACCGGTAAGTCAATTTTGTGATATTTCATGGAATGTTCTTGAATACTGCAAAAGACAGCTTTAATCTGCATTAATAGACATTGTAAGTACAGAGTCAAAATGAGTTTTATTTATAAAACTATCAGATAAGAGCGCTCACGCGGGAGAACAGATATCTCCTATAAAGAGACTACCACTGCAAAGCGTGGTCCACGTGCAGATATGGGAGACGATGTGAATTTCACCGACAGATGTTTTTTACCCACAAGTTTGCATGAATAAACGTTGTAAGTACAGTGTGAGATATGAGTTTTATTTCAAATTGTTTTTGAATGGGTGTTTAACAAATGCACTATATACACACATAAATCTATGGTTGTTTCACAAGTGCAGTATTTGCACATACGTGTATGCGTCAGATAGCTAGGATCACGACGATTCCAGAACACTCATCGTATGGAGCGTAGACCCAAGGACAGCGGATCTACGGCCTGTTCAAGAGAGAACTATATCTTCTCCAGAACTACTTAAAACGTACATGACCCCGCGACCCCGGCTGCATTTCACCGATCTGCTATCGTGTCAAAAACGTGTTCTGCCTGGGTTTTGAACGCTTTCTAGCCCTGAAATACTCTTCAAACACCCGTAACTCCGACAGTTAAAATGGACGCTCCAGCTGACGTCCAAAGAAACGGTACAAGGAAAGGTAGCCACGGGGGGTGTATGGGGGAAGTCTGAAGACCGCCAGTATTGCCCAGGAGGCAATCCTAGTTATTATTAACATTATTATAAGACATTTATATAGCGCATATTCACGCAACTAGTACATTCTCTAGGCGCTGGAGTTTTCCTTGATCAACGGATATCATTTATCTGGCATTCTTTAACCAATTCAGCTCCCTGGGGAGTATTCAACGGATGCAGCCTGTTAGGCGCAGCGAGGTATCACATAGCCTGACCCTCACAAGGTACCCATTTGCAGCTGGGTGGACTTGGACACATAGTCACAGTATTGCGTCCAATGATAATGTACGTTACTATACCATCGGATGAGTTGGTTCTTTTAAGTGCACAGGGTAGTGTACTGCACATAGCTCGCCCATATGGCATTACGTTGTGGTTTGCTGGCTTCAGTTCTTTTAAGGACTGATTCAAAATTAAAGTCTCTACTTACGAACCAAGGCATAACAAGTGTTAAATGAAAACATAATCATTATTATGCTGAATTTGTATAGCTATATCACGGTAGCTTCCCTCTTAAATTGATTGAAACATCTATAGATAAGGAGTGTTCATAAATTGACAAATAAAAAGGTAACATGTCAATGCCAAGGAACAATCATCTTATCATCTCAAGTAACACCACCCACCTATCCATCCCCCCTTCCCCACACCCCCAGCTCCCATAACATACACCATGGGGTTTGCTCTACATGTCTGGCGCAGACGGGTAGCACACTCGCCACTCGATCAGTTTTCATAAAAGAGTAGCTTGTTACGAAATACCGCACAACTTTGAAATCATACCTAAACGACACATAGCTATGTCAAATAGGGTTTCATTTCGAAAAAAGGGATATATAAATATTAAAATGGAAAGTGTAAGAAGGTATTCATCCTGAAACTGCTTAAGTCGAAACTCAGTAGTCAGTCAACCGGATACACACCCGGCTATACTGTGTCTCTTGTCACAGTTTGCCTCACTCACTGTCTGATATGTAGATGTGACAGAAAAGAAAATTTATTTAGAAAGGAATTTTATATAACCACCAGAGCACGATTGTGATGATAATGAGTTGTCTACAGTAACGAACCGTTGCTGTGTTATCAGCGTTGGTGAACATTGTGAGACGGGTGCTTATAGGATTGCATTTGGCCCTATGTCGCTGAGTGACCTCGCGTGACGACAGAGAGAAACAGTTTAGCGCCGACAACAACCTTCTTCTACAAAAGTGATAAAATCTTGAAATAACTGCTGCGGAATATAAACACAGTTCATGTTCTATGACATATACAGAATGTATCGAGCAATACACACGTATCTTACGCTGTTTCACGCTTTTAGCACAGTGATGAACTGAAGTGTAACGGGAGACACCCAGGCAGTTACATCTATAATGTAATTTTCACTTCCAGTTCGCTGTCTGGAGTTAGTCTCCTATGGTAACTCATAACTCTATGATCGTGGGATTATTATGCGCGGTTTATCATCACCATACCCGTTACGTCGGTTTCACCAAAGTGATAACGATCTGTAACAATTAGGGCTTTCCTCTTACTTTACCAATTAAACATGACCACAGGTAAGTACAGACAAACGTTGATACCCAGGGACCACCGGTATAACAACCTTGAATTATAGTTTTTACATTTGACAACCTGGAAATGCGTTCTTCCAGACTACCTCTTCTGGAACCAAAGTGACACTACTCTAGTTAACACTTGGATTATCTGGAAATGTGTTTATCTGGGCGGGTTCACTGGAAACGATAGCGTCCGGATTAACAGGGTTTTTACTCAATGTGTTTTCCGGTATGAGTGATAATAGGCTACTTCTATCTGGATTGACTGATTCATGGTTATATATACTAATTATTAGTCATGGAAAATGTTCCTACCTGCGGATCAGTGATTGAGGAGCTCTGCTGCTCAGGGAAGATTGCAACGTTAGCAGGGACTGGGACAAATAACATAGGAATGTGGTCACACAGGTATGAAGCATAACCACATTGTATTCGTATGTTAGCCCAAGCTTTGTCAGTAACCTAGTTTGCCTCGAATGTCCACGGTGGAGTGCACACGAGCACCACGCACAGTCACAGCTTCAGGGACCTAGAACGTTGGATTTTAAGGGGAACTTACCCACATTGAAGCACTACACAATCAACTAACAGGTAACTGAGATACTGTTCAAAGTTGCGTCTGATCCTTGAGTACTCTATGTATTCTGTTACACAAAACTCAAAAATTTAAAACTCAGATTTTGGTGTGCGCCTATGCGCGCGCGTGCGTGCGTGCGTGTGTTTGCGCGCGTGCGTGCGTGTGTTTGTCTTGAGTCCTTTTCCCAGAATATGAGGAATAAAATTCATTTAAGTATAAATCGCAAAGCATACGTTTAGTAATTTCACTTGACCGTGAGTTACGTATGTTACTCACAAGTTTTTCATATAACAGCCTTGACCATATAGTAAGCAGATGAAAGTCGTTGGGTGACCTACTACCACTGTTACTGCTACTACCTGCTACTACTACTACTACCACTACAACTACTACTACTACTTCTACTATTATTTCTACCAATACTTCTACTAATACTTCTACTATTACTACTACAACTACTACCACTACTTCAACAACAACAACAACAACTACTAGGGGAAATTAGCTTTAGTAGAGCGGTCAAGACTGGCAACTTGAAAAACAGTTTGATTGTTTGTCGTTAATGGTTTGATCGGCAATCTAGATGTTAGGGAGTTAAAAATGGAGCATACAATTGCAACTTTATGGATGACAACTTCTTGTGTCTTTCAACATCAGTCTTGGAATCTTGAAAGTTCTTATCTAAATGAAATGGTTTTGTTGTGTTTGTCCATTAGCTTATGGCAGTATGCGTCAGCACCATCAAAAACTGGCTTCAAGGTTTCATCGAGGATTGTAAATTCAATTTCATGGCCAGAATACAAATCAAACCCAAAATCTTCTTACTACTGAAACTGTTACCTTGCAACATACCGAGGACATAAAGATTACTGTAAAACCGTCTACATCCGCCATTTCTATGAGGTCTTCCTGCAGAATGAATGCTATATCCAGACTCTTTTGGAGACATCCGAAGCACAGGCCCTCGTGTCTTTGCGAGGATTAAAGATTTTAAGAATATAAACTTTTGAGATGATTTGATTTTGACCCTCAACTAAACGATCTTGACACAAATGGAAGACGAGGTGTCCGCACAAAACGGGAGTCTGGTCGAATCAAGCCGTCTGATTGGTCAATGCTTGCAAATCTGCACATTCTTTATAAATTCGCGGGATTTTTCTCCTTTCATCGACTGCTTAATGTAAGAATATTTTTCGAGCAATGGCTTCTCAAAAGAAAGCATCAGTTGTAAATGTCACCTTTCAAGCATCAGCCAACCAGAGCGGTCCGTTTTGTGCGGACACATCGTCATCCATTTGTGTCAAGATCGTTTAGGTGAGAGTCAAAATCGGGTTTTAATCGACTTGCAAAAATAATAATAAAGAATTGTTAGGTGTCATGAGTGATGATCGATAGGCCATTCATCCATGATTATGTTTACATTAAGTTTTAATCGATTGGATGTCATGGTAGCGTAGCGATCGGCAAAGGAGGTGGGTGGGGTACTCCGAAGTGTCCGGCCTTGTCATAATGTATTACACTGTGAAGCATTTCGAGTCGGGGGGCATCTCAAATATTTTATATTTCTCTTAAACTCTTTAATCCTTGCAAAAACACGAGGGCCTGTGATCAGAAATGGGCTTCACACATTATACCCATGTGGGAAACGAACTCGTGTCTTCGGCGAGACGAGTGAGCATTTTAATCACCAGGCTACCTCACCACCCCTCAAAACAAACAGGAAACAACGGAAGCAGAGCAAACCTTAATACTAGTAGGTGATTTTTTTGTTCCGAGTAGCTATAACTCTCCTTTTCAAATGATGTTAACGGCAGTCCTACTGCTTGCTTCCTGGTTGGTTCCCGACTCAATATGCGCTGCGACAACTTTCGACATGTAAAACAGAGCCAAGCTCACACGTTGTCCTACTGTACCTTCACTAACAAATGGTCGTTTGCAACGAAACACCTTTAACTGTTTTGCGGCGATTGTTAGTTTAGAACAACATCGTTTGTTTAATCTCCTTATGCAATACGAATTGACACGATGGTAGATGATGGGAAAAACGCAATGAAATATCGTTATATTGTGATGCCATTTGCTATGTCGGAACATGAGGCAGTGTAGGTCTCGGATAATATGGCATCGATGAAATAATGAAAACTCACCTGATATGTCAACTCTTTCCAACGACAAGTCCTCAACTATTGCTATTGTTGCATTCAAATCAAACAAATATTTCTCATTCTACTACAGACCTAAACGTAATCAAATCGGAGATACGCCTACATCTGAATCCGCTGACGAGCGTTTAACGCCGATTTATAGTCATTATGCATCCGTGACTTTACTGATAATTAAAGAAATACCGTGCCCCGAATTTAACAGTTGGTTTTAAAAATGAATGTTACGTTTTGACCAGCAGTTCACCACACATCTGATTTCATTTAGTTGTATATTCTGACATTATATTTTCAAAGTATACTTAATGTATCATATATCTATCATCCAAGCAGTTTGTCGTTTCCAGCAGACATACCAGTCATCATAGATTGAAAACAAAATATTTACCTATAATATTCTATCACTAATTAAATGTGTCCATCAGTCAATGTTAATAAATATAATAATAAAATAATTTATTAATCCATTTCCGAGGTTTGAAATCATTTCAGGGATAGAAATAGGACTGAATTTGCGTGTTATGGCACGTAAGTTAGTGAGTGAGTTAAAATTTAACGTCACATCGACAATATTGCAGCCATATCGTAACGAGAACAATATTCAAATCAATTCATGTATAACATAAAAACCTGTCATCTAGTAGGTACCATAAAAATGTCACGAGAGATAACAGTACAATATAAGAACGGGCTATAGATCACCAGCAACTGAAGGTTGATCACCATACTAAGGACCAAGGGGACTTCCTTACCTTTGCTACCTACATCGACCAAAGTTGGATTTACATCATCCCTTCAGCAGCCGAAGATTGTAGTCAAATTTAGCCATAATTTATTTGTATATGTGGCCCTGAGGCCAATAGTACATGTGTACAATAATAACAGTGCATTTATGCGCAACCTGTAAATACGCGAGTTATAGGAAAATCAATAGATCCATAAACACCCATTCACAATTTACATTTTTTCTCTCAATATAAGTATGTGGTACAACACAAGGGCTAGCTTAAACAACAAGTCAATGTTTTCTGTGCGAAGTAGCATACAGAATTTATGTCTCGACGGTTGGTTATAGAAAAAATAAGGCAAATATGTAACTCCTATTTCTAAATATTTCGGGCATACAAGTAATACATGGTACTCATCTTCTTGCGATAAATTGGACATTGGATATCTATTGCATTTGAAGTTGTAAGCGTTACATCTAAATTTAGTAAGCGTACGCTTAAGTTGTGGTGATTTAATCTTTGAAAGGTAAATTTCTGTATTAATACAATATTTATATTCTGAATAAAAGTTGACACATGTTGATGACGTTATTTCATTATACCAGTCCTGTTGATAAATGTCTTTGCACCTCTGCTTGAATACTTCGATGAAATATTGTGTATTACTTACATTTTGGGCGATCCATACATTTCCAAAGCCATGACTAAAAAGAATAGTTCTAACGAATAAAACCCAATTAATATCTCCGGTATCATCTAGTGTTTTAAGCATTTCATAACTACATCTTGAATATCGTGAAATTGGTTGTTTCATCAATCTTAGCCAATATGAAATAACCCGACATCGGGCGTTAATAAACAGTGGAAAACGTCCACATTCAGCTAAAATAACCATGTTCGCAGTTCTGTAGCCAACACGCAACAAGAACTTACAGAACTTTGAATGTACCTTTTCAATATTCTTGTTTATGTTAATGCCCCATATTTCAGAGCCGTACAACAAAATTGGTTGAATTTTCCATCAAACAGTTTAAATGATGCATGGATCGGTAATTCTTTATATTGCATATGAATTTCTTCATGACATGTAGGGCTCGTTCAGCTTGCATAGATAATGTTTCACAGGCTCTAGAGAATACATTTCTACACGAAAATATAATACCTAAATATTTGTAATATGGAACCACCTCCAATTTTTGGCCATTAAGGAACCATTTTTCACTTTTAGAGATTTTACCCCCATTTTTAAAAACCATTACTTTAGTTTTACTAATATTTATCTGAAGACCCCATTTCAAACAATATTCATTTAAAGTATCTATCTTGCATTGTAACTGGACAACAGAATCGGTAAGAATCACGACATCATCTGAAAATAACATTATTGCAAGATCTCTGATATGTTCGTTAATAAATACACCTCTCGTGTCATTTAATAATATTTCCTTAACAAGTTCTTCAACATATAACAGGAAAAGTACAGGTGATAGAATGCAACCTTGCCTCACTCCGGCATATGTATCAAATATATCACTCATTTGAAATTTACTGGTTCTAACAGATGCTCTCACATTGGTGTACATATTACGTAAAAGACGTTGGAGTTTGCCATGTATACCTGACTGTAGTAGTACATATAACAGTTTTGACCTATTAACGGAATCAAACGCTTTCTTAAAATCTGCGATAAGACAATAAAACTTCCCCCCTTTCTTCCACAGATATTTATGGATAATACTGTTGAGAGTAAATATATGGTCCGTAGTTGAATACTCTTCTCGAAATCCCGCTTGACACTCAGATAAAAGTTTTCGAGTGGAAATCCAAGCCTTAATGCGATTATCTAATATAGCGGTAAATATTTTGTTTAGTGTATTCAATAATGCAATACCTCTATAATTGTTTGGATCACCCCTTTCACCCGACTTATGCAGAGGTACAATCAATCCTACATTCCAGGAATCTGGAAAAACGCCGCTGTCTAGAACTCGATTAAACAGACTATTCATAAAAGGAAGCAATAAAGAAATACATTCTTTAAAAACTTCAACTTGAATACCATCTACCCCGGGTGATTTTCCACATTTCAGACTTTTTACT